AAGCCACCCGGAATACCTGGTCTCCCCACATCTCAGGGAGAGTGGAGAAGGAAGGTAGGACTATCTTGATGCTTTGTGAACTAACCCCTGCAAAGAAGGTGGATTTGGCAGAACCAAAGGAAAAGAGACAATCACATTTAGTCAAGATCCTTCATAAGAGCAGGAGGAGGAGAAGGGATGAGAGACACTGATGGCCAGATGAAATATCTTATATGTATCTTCCCCCTCCCCTCAAGCTTAAGCAGAGGGCAAAGCCTTATCTTTTCTCCTCTTTGTGACCTGTGGCAGTGGAAGGAGCTGCTGAAGACACTAGGTGAGTGAGACAAGTAAACAAATGGGGCTGATTCTCTCTGACGTTCCAGGCCTCAGCCCTTAATTGAAGGCCCATTCTGAGAGCCAATTCATCTACCCCTCAGGAACAGAATCCATGTACAAAGACGGAGAGTGAGCCTGTGCAACGACCCTATCCATCCCAGGGCTCAGAGGAGCCACGAGAACTGGGAACTCCAACAAAGGCTGAACGAAGCCTCAGGCGAGTTCTTTCTCTGCTCCAGCCACTCCTTCAGACTGCAGATAAAGTGACTAGAACAATAAATACCCTGTCCTCAAAATACAGCTGGGAGTGGGACACAAATAGTTCTCAGTCAAGGTGGGGAGGTCGCCGAGGAGAACCCACCCCTATGCGTCAGAGCAAACAGTCTGAGTGGCCCTCTGCACGCCACGCAGGAGAAAGATGAGGAAAAACATCATAGCAACCACATTTCAAGAATAACAACAAAATTAAAGGAAGAAAGAAAGAGAGAATTAAGAAAGCAATAGCATTCAAAAAGCAAATGAAAATCCTAGTCTGAAAGAAAATATAATGCAAACAGAAGAAAATGTCTTACAAATGTTTCACACTTTCTTAATAACAATGTGAATTCAACAAAGAAAGTTCAAAGAGGAAATGATAAAAACAGATTAACATGCACATTCTGTGCTCAGAAAATAAATTGATAGCCCAACAAACAGAAGTGATAAATTAGAAATAGAAATAGTAAGGTACAGAATAGATATGTCTGAAAATCAAATTACTCACATCAAGGAAAGGCTGAAGTGAATCCAGATAAAAGACCAAGGCATTAAACAATAGAGACGCTAATAAGTGGGAAAGACCTGTGAAATATACAATTGTGTCTGTGAAGCAGAAAATCCAACAAATGGAGCAGAAGTATTCAAAAACAGAACACCAAAAAAATCTCCCTGAAATAAAAGAATCCACAAAACAAAAAACCAAACTGAATTACAGGAAAATCTGATAGAGAACAATAGACACTAAGATGAGACATATCCTGATTAAGTTGTTATGATTCAAGACTAAAGAAGGAATTCTTCAGGCATTCGGGCAAAAGGAAGTCAATTTCAGGAGAGCCAAAATAAAGCTGTCCTGACCCCCTCCGTGGTATCATTAGATGCCGGAAGAGTGTCTACAAAGTCTGAGGAAAGAAAGTATGTCCCAAGAAGTGTAAGCCTGGCCAAGCTATCATTAAACCAAAGATAATGCAGGAAGTAGACATTCTAGTCTCAAGCTCTTAGGACTCAACGAAGACCTAAGGAGTGGAGAAGCAATCATAAGAAGACTGCTGATGAACATACTAAATCCACTGAAATATAGGAATTGTGGTCACAAAACAGAATGGAAAGGTTGTAAACCCTGACAAGGTAAAAATAATAGATAGCTAACGAAAACTGTAAGATGGGACACAGGAGGGGAGGGAGAAGTGTAACTGTGCTAATTTCCTCTTCTTGTAATTTTTCAATCGGCCCAGTCTAAAACTTAAATACTTAGTAAAAATTATGTAATAATTCCAATCTTTGCTGTTTTGCAAAATCACTTTCTTAAATTTAGAGGGATCTCTTAGGAACTAATATCTCTTAAAGCAAAGAAACATTTTCTTAAAGTTCAGCAATTTCTTCTGTTATATTTCAGATTCTCTTCTATAAATTTAAGAAAAAATTTAATTCTTCAATTAAAAATAGAGTGACTAGTATATCTCTTGTTGTATTAAACTATTCCTAGCTAGCAAGTTATTCTTCTATCTGTATATATGCAAAGAAAGGTGCCTAGAATGGTGTTCAGTTAATGTTAAAAATGGTTAATTTCGGGAGGCAGGGCCAGGAGTGAATTTTTAAGTAATTTATTTCTTGTTGTGTCTATATGTTTAAACATTTTATAATAGCCATTTCTCACTTTTACAACTAAAAAGTCATGTTTAAATTATAAAAGCCAAAAAAAAAAAATCTTTCATTGAATTTTTCACCAAAACCTAAAACATATGGTAACTATATAAAAATTTACAAAAAGAGAGAATCCAAAAGGAGGAAATAAAAATCACTCAGCATCATCTTCAGTGCCAACAACAGTTAACAGTTTTCAATCTGGGGACGGAAAGGGACTTCATAAAGACAGCATCAAATATGTAATAAATAGCCCCTTATGTTTCCTTCCTCTCAATGCTTTTATGGTCGTATTAATTGCACTTAAATATTTAATTGACCAGAGTTTACTTTGGGTTTTGGTGTGAAATAAGAATTAAATTTTTTCTGCTATGTTTGGTTACATGTCCTAGAACCAAGCACTGAACGATCCCTTCCGTGTGGGCTGATGTGAAATGCCACCTTTACTAAGTTCTGACATAGCATTAAATACCCTCAAGTTTGAGGACCCTCTCTCATCCCATTTTCTCAGAGACCTCAACACTCTCAGAAGCCCCGAGGCTACAGAGCAAACTCCACCCTCAGCCTTCTGCACTGCATCCTCTGTCCTGGGTAGCCTTTCCGCTTCCCACTGTGCCTTGTCTAGAGTTTTGCTGCAGCTTCTAGCTCTGTCTGAGGAGATTCTTCTCTCCAGGAGGGCGGGAACTGCATCTCGAACTTGGCTTCTTATTCCAACATCTGGTCAAGTGTCTGGCACACACACAGACCTCCAGATATTCCACCCAAGAAACAAGTCTTCCCAACCCTCCTCTGCTGCCAACGTGCAATGACAGGCATCTGAATAGTGAGGGTCAAGAGAAAAGCCCCTAGGACTGTTTGTTTTTAAAACATTAACTAGAATTACATTTCATTTCACCATCTCAATTTTGGAGACTCATAAGCTACTAATTTTACTTTTGTCAACAATATTTCCCTTCAAGTTTTATTCCTACTGTTAATTACTTGTAGTCCTCGTGACAAGGCAACAGCCGGTCATATATACCCAAGAGAATCCTGCCATTCCAGGCCCCGGAGTCCTACGCAGAGGACTCGGCCCTTCACTGAGAAGACATTCCTTTAGTGCCAGCACTATCTTATCAAGCCCAGCATGCTCAGGGCCTGGCCTACGTGCTGAAGCAGATCTCAGGGCCCTTCATCCGGCAAGCTCTAGGCAGCTTCCCAGCCAAAGGACCTTCCTATAAACTAGTCCTAGAAATGAGCACACCAGCTGCTGAGAGTAACGATTTGACTTAACGTCTGGTGCCAACCACAGATTCAGTCCTTCTCAGGGTGTAGTGCTTAATAGGCCAGCGGCACTCTGCCATGCCAAAGAGAAGAGAGAGAGAACACAGAAGCACTGAAGAAAGGCTGAAAGAAGCCAAAGCCACAGGGACACTTGAGCACTGCAGCCCGAGCAACACTGTGCCCAAAGGGCATTCTACAACCTGGGACAGCTGGAAAGTTCAGCGCCCCTACTCGGCACGATACCAACCCAAGGCCCCTCCTGAACCTGGAGAAGACAAGAGGAAGGGAGCTGTGATCACTTTCTTCAAATACGTGGAAGGTGATGGTGTTTAAGAGGAAATGCATCTGTTCAGTCATTTTGTCCAAGGCTAGAATTAGACCCACCAGGTAGAAATTACAGGGAGGCAACTTCAGGTTCAAACAACAGTGAGCTTTCCCCCCTGAGTTGGTCAACAAAGCAGCAGCCCACCTTGTGGAGTAGGTGTCCCCTGGTCCACCACACACTGCAGAGAGAACCAGAGGTCAGGAAGGCCACAGAGGGGAGGACTAGACCAGATGACCTCCAAAGGTCTCGTCTATGACTACTGGATTCTGACCTTAACATTTAATTAGAAAGGATTAGTCTTCAAATGTAAAAATAAAAAAAGGAGTGCATTCATTATCCAGAATTTTGAGCAGTATCAACCACACCGTTATACTGAGCATTACTGGCTGTTAATAATGTGAATTTAATGTAAAAGATTAAAAGTAAGTTTGATCTTTAAGATTTATAATTAGACACATACGACTTTCTAACTTTAATATAAGCTGGCTAAGTAAGTTTGCTGATTAACCTCAACCAATATGTGGATGTAGCCATAATAGCTTATAAGATCCAACACCGCACAATAAAGAGCTTAAAGAGACGTGTGTAAAAACTTGATCACTGCATCTGAAAACGAGACCCCACTTAGTCTTCTTGAGCAGCTACAAAAATGAGTGCCTGGAAACATCTTGGCGTAATTCTAAACTTAATCTCCGAAGAGACGTAGGTTAGACTAAAAAACAGATTCTGATTGAATGCATCCCGGCTGCGCTGGAGCAGGACAGCAGAGGAAGCCAGCCGCAGCGGAGTGGGCGCATCCTCCAGCAGGGCCCGGGCCTCGGGCACTCGCCCTGGAGGGTCTGGGTGGGGCCCGCTCCACTGCTGAAACAGCCTGGCCCTGCCGTCCCCAGACCTGAGTGCAGACCCAAGCTAGAGCTGAACACAGCAGGCACTGTGCCATCTTTGTGGATCCCGAGGAAACCCAGTCCCTCCTAATTTGCACTTCTGAAGGTCAATCTGCTTATCTGGCAGTTTTCTAATTACTTTAGGGAAAGGCAAACACCAGTGATAAACTTTATATGAAGAACACAGAGCTGAACAAGAAGAGAAAGGGGCCTTTGTACTTGGCAGGAGAAATGAGGGAGCTGATGGGCAACGATATCAGAGCTTCACACACACCACACGGAGGAAGATAACCTTGTACAAACCAACCAACCTGAAATTCTGCATGAACTGCCGGAACTTGTCCACCCTCCTCGCCAGGGGGACGATAATGTTGATCAGCGTGTTGGCCATGTTGAGTTTTTCTTTTTTTACTTTCATGATAGGGCCAAATGGTCGAAACAAGACAAGTCGTCTGAATTCGTGCCTGTGGTCCCCTTTGAACGTTAGCTCATACAAAGTGCCTTTATCCCTTTCTGTGCGGTAGATCCCTGTTGACAGAAACACAAGGAAAGATAGTTTTAAAAATTAACCCCTGCAACTGAGTGTTTTTTTATAGTTGAGATCTAGCACAAGATGCCATTTAAAAGAAAATTAAATTAAGATTAAATCTGTACATCTAATAATTAGAAAACTCAACAGGCTCCCACTTAAAAAATCTCAAAAGAAATCAAAATGCCATCCATTTAAAAATCACAGTCATGAAGACTTCATAAAAACATGGGAAAAGGTTTGTAATCCTGGATACAAAACTATATTTCTACTATTTAGAGGCATTAAGAAAAGGACTATAAGGAAATATGCCAAAATAAGACTGGCTGTGATATGGAGTGGGGTTATGAGTTTTTCCCTTTCTGCTATTATCCACATGTTCTGCAATATGATTAAATAAATATTTTAATTATTATATTTATTTCATTCTAAAAGTGTGTTGAAATTCTCGCTTAGAAATTATAGCCATTTCAGATAGACTGACCACAGTGATCTATTGGGGGCAACTCCGAGTGCTCAGGGCCAGCCACCTGGGTCACGTGGCCCTCTGGAAGCGTTAAAGCAGACAACACAGAAAGTACACCCAGCACAGTGGCAGACACACATCTGATTTCACATCGTCCTTCCGACCTCTGAGAAGCAGCACCACTCAGTGCTTCAGAGCCAGACTAGTTGGGCAGTCTACTTACGGACCCCCCCAGACTGTGCTCTACGCTGTTACTGAAACCCCACACAGTCTCGCTAGTGAGGCTGAAGATGTGACCAGCATCTCAGCTCCACTCTCGGGACAAGCCTGCCAAGGGCCTGATCCCAGAACTGCCCCTATCTAATGAGCAAATGATTCCCTGATGCGTTAAGTTCCCCGCCTTCCCCATATCACTGATACTGTGGGTGTTTCTGCTACATTCAGGAAAAAAAGATAAATTCAACAAATCACCAGATAAGCTTCCTCGTCTTTTATCTGTGATTTGCAATGTTTTCTGTTCCACGTCTCTTCCTTCCTCTTACTCCCCATTAGCTAGAATGCGCCTCCCAGCCTTTGACCAGCTACACAAGCCAGTCTCCAGGGAAACGTCTGCCTACAGTCGGTTACAGCTCTCAAGGCCTCTCACCAGCCACTTCTCTTCTCCTCACTCTCCGCTTCTTTTCTCTTGTGGGACCTACAGGTCTTCCTCACAAACACTGCCAAGTTCTCTTCTCTGTTCTTGGCCTTATAGGACCTTTTCATCCCATAGCCCTGGGTTTTACAGCCTCTTTGATCCTGTTCAAAGTCTGGATCTCCTTCAGGTCACACAGAGGAGTCTGGGACTGCGAATTTTCAGCGTAGTCTCATTTCTCACAGCCGTCCCACGGGCCTCCCTCAGATTCAAAATGCACATCCACTGGCAGTGAGCATGGGTGATTTAAGGCCCTGGGCACAGAGTGACAAGGACTGAGTTCTCTTCTGAAGGCTCCACCAATTTCTTGGGTAACAGGGCACACTGCTCAACAGCCCTCAAAGTCAGGGCAGCTGAGGGCAGTTTTGCTGAGCTCATGCTGGAACAGAATGAGAGTCCCTGCAGGGGCCCTTCATGGAAGAAAGAAGAAGGTTCGTTTCTTATTAGGAAACTCAAAGGACTTCTGTGGAAATGTGAAGTGGTTCTCTTCAAAATCTGTTAATTCTTTCAGGCAATTGGTACTCATTGAGGAAAGAGGCTCTCCTCCACCCCGGATGCTGTCTACAGCAGGAGGGGAATCCACCTGCTCCCAGGGCCCAAATAAGGGTGGGTGCAGTCAGGAAGGAGGCGCATTCGCTAACAATCCTATCTGCACACTGAACCGGGCCGCCAGGGTTGGTGGCTCCGCCTCGTCATGCTTCTGTTATTTGGTGTCAGCAAGCACACCTTCTCACACAGCAATAAACGTGGAAAAGGCTGTGACAGTTTAACGTGCAGATAAAAATGTACGTGGGCTGGGGAATGTTTTTTTTAACTGAGTCATTTTCTTTCTCAACACTAGGATAAGAATCATTAACGTTTTAAAATCTAAATCCACAGAGTTGAAAATACAGGTAGAAATATATACAAACCCATCTCAAGAGATGTACATCTACTTATAAAGAACCAGAGAGTGTAAGAATTCTCATTAACAACGATTCCTATAACCATGTAAGAGCTGCCACCTTTGTGGAGCACATGTCACGAGCTGGGTGTGACAGGCGGCCTTTGTCGCTGGTTTCCAGGTGTGGCTCTCCTTAGCATCAGTAAGTCCAGGACACCCAGGCTAATCTTAATACCACTACTTCAGCTGCTTTCTCATTGTCGTCCACATCCTACGCCTTGAAACAGTTATTACATCAACTGATAGCATATTTCCACATACTCTGCCTAATAAAATTAATTATGTCTTATAAATCTGCTTTTAGATCCCTTAATTCATCTATTTTAAATAAGTTATTTAAAACTCTCTTGCAACCTAGGTCCACTAAAACCCACACCTAGCCATCCGCCCCCCACACCCACAGGCACGCCCTCCCACACTGCACTCAGTCTTCTTGTAACACAGAGGACACCACCTATGGATCCTTGTGTCTCCTGGAAATCTTCAGGGGTGGAAGCACAAAGGGACTGAGAGAAAGGGAGGCAGGAGCATTTGGAGGCAGGAATGGTTTTTTAGCCAATAACCTGGCACGAACAATGGCAACTGCAAAGCAAATTGGCCACACAAACACCTTCCTAGTAAAATTTAACAGGATAATATCCTTTTTATGCACTATGCAAATTAAAGATCAAAATAAGAACTTGGGAACTAGCTTAGATTTTGGTTTAGACACCCAACTGGCACCCTCTTTCCCCTTCTTTCTCTCTGTAGGTGCTAGGCTTACTTTGAGTTTGGTGTTTCTGCTCCCTATGAGCATCCTAATGCTCATCTTATCCTATTCAAGAGGGCCAGGCCCTAGGACAACCAAACAGGTGGGGATACCTCCACGTATCCACAAATCAGCTCCATGGTCTGCTACAAATGTCTGTTCCTTCAGTAGACAAGGAGCTAACCAGACGCAGGCCCCCTCTCTACATCCTGTCTTCAACTTAGGACCTCAGAAATCATGATGTTGAAGGTCAAGGAGGCACCACTCACTCCTCCCCCTCACATCCTCACCCTCCCTCAATACAAGTGCACACAGGTTGTGGCCAGTGCTGCACTGCTGAGCCCAGAAGTGACTTCTCCACTTTCATCCCTGCCTTTCTACCTTCCTACACAGAGCCTAGTCTCTCCGCTGGGTAACCGCAATCTTAAACTGACCCATGTCTTGCCCCAGGACCCAATCTATCCAGCACCTATCCTTTGGCCCTTAGCCTTCCTCCAGCACCACTCTCACCCTGCTTCTCCCCTGGTTCAGAAGCCCTCACCAGCTTCCCACAGCCTACAGAATAAAGTACCAATACCACGGCCAGGCCTTCAAGACCCTCCATAACCTGGCCTCAGTCTACTGTCCTAATTGTAGGTCTTCCTCCTGCCTCATGTGAAATGTGGCTCCAGTCAAGCAGGTTTATATTGAGCAAATACAACTACTCTTCCCCCTTGGAGAAATCGGAATGCTCCTGCAATGCTGGTAGGAATGTCAAAAGGGGCAGCTGCTGTGGAAAACAGTTTGACAGTTCCTCAAAAAGTTAAACATAGAATTATCTTATGATCCAGCAATTCCACTAATGGGTATATACCCAAAAGAAATGAAAACAGAGACTTCAACAGATACTTGTACACACATGTTCATAGCAGCATCATTAATAACAGCCAAAAGATAGAAACAACCCAAACGTCCATCCACAGATGAATGGATAAACAAAACACACAGCGGAATATTACTCAGCCTTAAAAAGGAATGAAATTCTGACATATGCTGCAACATGGATGAATCCTGAAAACATGCGCTAAGCGAAATAAGCCAGACACAAAAGGACAAATTTTATATGATTCCCCTTACATGAGGTACCTAGAGCAGTCCAATTCACAGAGACAGAAAGTAGAATGCTGGTGGCCAGGGGCTGGGTGGGGGGGATAGGGGAGTTAGTGTTTAATGGGTACAGAGTTTCTGTCTGACATTGTGAAAAAGTTCTAGAAATGGGTAGTGGTGAGGGTTACACAACAAAGTGAATACACTTAATGCCTCTGAACAGTACACTTAAAAATGGTTAATATGGCAAATTGTTATGTACGTATATTTTACCACAATAACTGCTCTCCTCTGAAAAGGTCTTGCACTTTCTCACCAGTCGAGCTTCCTCCCTTTCACCCTTCTAACTCTGACCCTCCTCCTCCAGGAAGATACCCCTAACACTGTCAATGCAAAGTGACTGTTCACTCCTCCAGACACTTCGGTCTCAGGGCTTTTAAACTCTTTGCTGAACTACTTTTTTGGCACTTGAGAACATGAAAGGACCTGGGAGACCATCTAGTCCAGCCTTCCCCTTTTACAGATGAGCAAACTGAGACCAAGAGAGGCTGCGATTTGTCTGCGTTCACCAAACTTGTTAACGACTGATTGGAACACACCGCCCAAGGGCTTCTTCCCTGGAGGGCACTTTCCAGAGGCAATATTAACGACTCAGCACATAGAAGAGAAGCAGGAACATGAAGAACAGCCTCTGAGAAGTCAGAACAAACAATACAAAGACTGTAGTAAAAATCACTGTGCTTAGCTCATTTACCCACAGATAATCCTCACATCTACCCTTAGAGTTTTTATTTTACTTTAACATATGACTGTAACGGCTGTTAAATAACAATTATCTGAATTCAGAGGCTACAACGTGTTGAAAGTAGTAAATTTTGAAATGGAGGAGTATCATGAAAAAAGAAATTCCCACCAAGACAAAGAAGAACACGTGGGAAAAGAAAATCTGTAACAGCAGAAATTCTGACAGTAGTAAACAGTGGCAGGTCACGTCGCGACAGCAGGGGAAGAGGCAGAACAGCATTATTTCTAAAATGTAAATGCCTGGGATCATTTACCATAAAG